GTTTCCCGACGCCAGGTCAAAACCCAGCCTCCTGCATTGGGAGCACAGAGTCTTAGCCAATGGACCACCAGGGAAGTCCCAAGACTCCTGGGTGGGGGACAAAGTTCAGAGAAGCCACTGAGTGGGTTGAGTAGGATAGAAGAGTGAGGAAAGAATATTCTGCTTTTTCCTGGATTGCATTTAAAGCTCTTTTGGTTTTATGAGTTATCCGAACACTTTTCCGTCTATCAGTCATTCAACAAATGCTAATTTAACTGAGCAGCCGTTCTGTGACCACCCGATAGCTCAGTCCCTCCTTGCACATGCCTTCCTACTTCCTTCCTACTTGCTGCCTTAGAAAAGTCACTATACGATAATACACTCTTTTCTCCCTAAGAAGAGGATGGGGCGTGTGAGGTGTGAATAAAGAGGGTGTTTGAGAGGAAGAAGACAGGTTCTGGAAAGGGTGGGGAGTAGGGGGTTGGCATCTGTCTAGCAAAAATGCCTACTGCTCCAGCCTCCCCTTCCCCACCCCCCACCCCCTGCCAAGCATGTGCTGCTGCAAATTACCCCTGGGGTAACTGTGCCATGCAGGCAAAAGCAGGATAGTCTAGGTGAATAACCTTGGCCAGAATTGCCCAAGGGATTAGAAAATTGCATGCTTGCTTGCATGTGCATTATGTATGTGTGTTGCAATGTTTCTCCATCTCCTGATAGCAGAAATGTTTCTATTTAGCTCCATTACTCTCAGGCTTCCTGTCTACACAAACACTCTCTCAGTCAGGCTCAGGGGACTCCAGAGAAGGGTGGCACAGCCTGACTCAAGCGGCAGGATCTGGGAGGCACCCGGCAAAGGAAAAGACAAGCCGGAGGGAGGAGAGTCGTGTCTTCCTGCCAGGCTTGTTTATTATTACAGCTTAGGAAGAAGGAATGTGCAGACCATTCTTTTATGGCCCCAACCATGCCTGCTCAATTTTTCTGCTCTTTTTCTTTAGCATTCTTCTCCCTCAATTCCCCAACAGCCCCAAACAAATTCTAACCACCCACAGTGCCTTCATCTTCCTCCTAACCGGGGAAAATATTCCAAATGCCCTCTGGGTAATTTGTTTCATTAAAGCTCAGGGCATATGTTGGTTTCTGGTTACAGGTGGAAAAATGGAAAGAAAATGAGAGGTCAGGTGAATTAATTGCCCACAGCCGGATCCGTAGGCTCCCCTGGTTTCTCGTATCCTTTGTTAGCCAAAGAAAGGAGCAAAATGGAGAATCGTGACTAGATTTTTAACTGTTTTATAGTATACCTACGAAACAAAGTTATGGATTAAGTGCGGTCCATGATGTTAAGCAAAAAGTATTACATAGCTTTTATATGTTGGATCCCTACTTGATTAAAATGACAATTTAATTTATACTGCCTTTGTTGACTGTGCAACTTAATCAGATCTGCTGCCTTGCTGAGCCAGCCCCTAGAAAATCACCTCTGAGACTTTGAAAGTGAGTCCTACTGTTACCCTGTGATTATTTTTATGGCGTCAACCATTTGAAGGGAAAGGAATGGCTGATCTCCGTGCAGTGTTTCGTATTGTGATGTGTGTAGTATTACTCACAAATGTCTTCAAACGTTAAAGTGAAATGGCTGTGCAAAATCATACAGCATGTCTGGAAAAATCCAGAAATTTCTGCATATCTGTTAGATCCATTGTGATCTATTTTTCAATCTCAAGGTATGAATAATTTAAATGACATGATATAGTACCATATCCTAAGTATATGTTTTAAAGGCTTCCTTCACTTCCTCATCCATTACATGTATATTACATGCTTAGCATATGCAGGTAGTGCTATTAGTGCAGGAGACGCAAAGTCATGTCACCCTGGGTGACGCACTTCCCCTCTTCTTTAGCCCGTCAGCCTCCCGGTACCATCCAGCACCTTGATATTCAATCAGAGAGACCTGACAGAAGCGTGGCCCCTGGACATTCTCCGGTTTCATTTATCAACTTGTCAGCCTCATGGAAACAGACCATCTGATGGTCTTTTGCTGGACCTCTGATGGGTTCAGCAAAAGCCTGGGTATGTTTCCCATCGAGCTGCTCAGTTCAGATCACGCGACCACACCTGAATCAGTCTCTGTGGTTGAGGCTAGCGTGCTCTGCTGAGACAGCCTGATTGAACGACTGCTCATATAGGAGAGGAGGGCCATTCCCCATAACCACATGGTTGCCCCAAAGTGGGTGTGTGTGCTGAGTCACTCAGTCATGACTGTGACCCCAGGGACTGTAGCCCACCAGGTTCCTCTGTCCATGGGATTCTCCAGACAAGAGTACTGGAGTGGGTTGCCATTCCCTTCTCCATGGGATCTTCCTGATGAAGGGATCCAACCCAGGTCTCCTGCATAGCAGGTGGATTTTTTACTGTCTGAGCCACCAGGAAAGCCCCAAAGTGTAACTCATCCAAAACAAGATAGGATGGTCAGAAAAAAAAAGGCAGCAAATAGCAGCTGGACATCTAAACTTCCCTCATGGGTACCTGACCTGGCTTATCTAAGTGCTTACTCAACATCCCCACTCAGATTGCTCACATGCACCATCTAGAAAACCATTCAGAAGCAGAGGTACAAAAGGACTCATGTTCCTTCCCCACAAATTTATACCTTCCCCGGTGACCTCATCTTGGCGAAACATATCACAGTCTACCCAACCACCCAAACCAGAACCTGGCCGTTGACTTACAAGCCTCAATCTCTTTCATCCCTATCGTCAACTTGCCTCTGGGTCTAAAACATTTCCTGTCTGTCTTTCTCTAGCCCTACTGACACCTCTGCTTAAGACCATCATTATCTTATCCAGATGATGGCAGGAGCCTCCTAACTGCCCCTCTCCAATCCAGGTTGACCTTTCCAGAACTCAAATGTGACTATGTCACCTACCTGTTTTAAGTCACGTACTATGCACTGCCTTCAGGATAAAATGCCAGCTCTTAACACTTGGCATCCAGATCTTTGCCTTTCATACAAAGCCCCCTCACCTGGCCTGGGAATTGCTCCTCTTGCTTTCACTGCCTCCCCAGGTACCACACTGATAACACCGTAAGGTCCGTTTCCTTGCCTGACTTTCTCCCGAGGCTAGAGCTCTTTAAGAGCAAGGATGATGTAGCGTGGCTCCCTCAACACCCATTCCAAACCCTCCCTAACTAGACTTCCTTACAGCTGGGGGTGTAGGAAATGTGACCTAAGTTCCGTCAAGCAAGTGTACCCATAGGAGACCTCCGCAGAAGCCAACAATGAAGATTCGAAACTTCTGGCAATCTTGGTGGTGATAGTGGTTCTTCTGGAGTCTTTAGGCTGCAGCCTCTAGCACAGGTGGTTGTATGGTGGTGTTTCTACCAGGACATTGCCTTGATGTCTTTGGCCATTTTTCTTAATCTTTGTTGTTCCCAGCTGCGTTGCTGTTGTCTGTAGAGACACCAAGCCTGGCCCCGACCCTCCCCCAGATTCTGTGGGCTACTCAATTTTCTGTAATAAAAGTCTTTCTGTCTAAACTAGTTAGAATGGATGCTGTTGTCTGCAAGAAAGCACCCTGATTAATGTAAATGGTGTCTAAAGCATCTTTGTGCCTGTAGTGCCTAGTACAGTGCCTGTCCCATGAAAGATGCCATGTGCCCTGTTATTGAATGACTGTTTGAAAGGATACCTTTCCACTGTTCTTATAGTGCTTACTGTAGGATGAAGGAGGCACGTGTGAGAACAATATTTCAAGGCAATGGGTTATAATAGAGTTAAAAGGTCATGAAAATGCAAAGATGGGAACATTAGGACCATCTCAAGGAAGGTAACATTTGAGACAGGCCTTGAAGGAGTAGCAATTCATCAGCTAGAAAAGGAGATAAAGGTCATTCCAGGCAGGAGAGCTGTATCAGTAAACCATCAACACGCAAGATGGGAGGACTCACTTACTGGATGGATGTGGTTGCCTAGAATATGACCCTCTGGTCAGGAGATACAGATGGAAAGGGAGAGGGGAGCAGGGTGTGAATAGTAGCAATAATTATAAAAGAGAGTTTTCTGGTACTTTCAATAACCGGATACTGATTCATGCCACTTCTGTACATCTTTTCATTTAAAATCCTCATTGTCATTATTACTCTTATTTTGCAGGTTGAGTTGCAAGTGGCAGAACTCATACTCAAAGTGAGCTGTCTCTAACATGCTAACGGGTTTAGGCTTTATCTTCAAATGAAGAACCCAGGAAGGTTGGACAGTAGTATGATTCGATGGTTGTGGTCAAAGGGTTGGAGAAAGAGAGCTTGACTGGAAGGACTCATGAGGAGGCCAGAGGAGAGATGCTTACAGCCTGACAGGTCAGGGGCAGTGAGAAGGGAGAGGATTGGCTGTATCTGAGAAATGTTTTAGAGGCTCTACAGACAAAGCCTGGAGATGATCCCAGGTTGTAGAATGAGGAGGCCTCAGGAAGCAAGGGTGAAGCTAAGACATGGGCTTGGGCAGCTGCATAGATGGTGGCTCCATTCATGAAAGTAGAGACAACAGCTGGTTTGGGGTTAATGAATGATTTCAGTTTTAGATGTGTCAAGATTTGATTCCTTCAGAACAATAGCGTGAAGATCATCAAGATATCTATTGGCCCCAATCTGTAGTCCCCTTGACCCTGGAGCAAGGCTTGGTCCCCTGGGTGTCTTGGCAGCTGGTCAAGCATGGCTGGAATGCAGCTCAACGCTAGGCTGGGTGAGCGCAGGGTGGTGTGTTGCTGCATATTTAAAATTACTTGTCAGACAAGGGAGCTGTGGAGAAGAAAGGGTCTGGCTGGGGCAGGCAAGCATTCGCGCCGTTCAATAATTCAACCCAGAGCCTGTCTTGGCTGCAGGGTTAACCATCACAAGGACCATTTTAAAGTCAAACCCAATTTCTGGGCTAAGTCGTGCCTGAGCGCGCTGGCCGGTTGCCAGAAGACAAGAGAAGAGTCCAGGCCTCTTTATGAACAGGCCCTGAGAGCTGCGGATGCTGCAAGATGAAGCTGTCAGTCAGCTCCCCACTCCCCGAGGCGCAGGCACGTGAGTCATCTGCATATGTCACACCCTTCAGCACGGCCCAGTCCGCCAGCCCCGGCTCCAAATCTGTCATCTCGGGGATCTGTGCAACACAACCTCCACCAGATTCAAGCATTATTAGACACAGGGGTCCAGCCTCCTATCCATCACCTGTATGCTGCTCTGGGCCCGATCACAGCCTGTCCGTCTGGCCAGAATAGAGCTCTTCAGAGTGGAGGTGGGGGTGGGAGATGATTGCATTTCAGAGGAGGGCCCCAGCATGGCTCTTCCGTACCAGCAGCCAGCTTGCAAAGTCTGGAAGGACCCACTTTCCTGGCAGGCTGCCTCCCAGCTGGCCATGAGGACAAGCCCTGTGTGTGGGCTACCTATCCCCTTGTTTTTCCCTGGCTCTGCTTCTGTGCCGCCTTGCTCAGTCCTGGACCTGTGCTACCCATACTAGGGATCAGTTACTAAGCAGGAGGCCTGTACTGGACACACACGGACCTTCCTAAGGTCTGGTACTGATGCTTGTTGACTGGTTAGCCACTTGGTTAGGGCTGGATTCAGGCATTCATTTTCTTTTCTTTTCTTTTGAGTTAACCACAAGGTTGCTCCCAGCAAGAGGCATTTGTGTTAGTTGCCCCAGGCCACTGTCCTAGCCTTCCTGGCCTCCCTAAAGGCCAAAGGCATCTGTCTTTCAGATAACTAGTGGGTTATCTGGTGCATAACCCACTAGTGGAGTCAGCAGCTAGCAGAAACTAGGAAATACACAAATGTGTCCTTTCCTGCCAGCTGGCTCACCCCTGCACCAAGATGCCCGGCTTGGTGGACAGGACACGGTCTGGATTCCAGCCCCCACCTGCTCCCTGTGCCAGGTTCTTTGTGTTGGTCACCAGTGGCATATCCCTGGTGGGGGCCCTGCCCACCAGTGAAAAGTCCTTGAGTGCACTATGACATGCTGATTGGTCAATCTTGTTTTAGAGACCCCTCTGGAGCATCCCCATCCCCATCCCCATTCATTTCAGTTGAGTTCAGTCGCTCAGTTGTGTCCGACTCTTTGCGACCCCATGGACTGCAATACACCAGGCTTCCCTGTCCATCACCAACTCCCGGAACTTACTCAAATTCGTGTCCATTAAGTTGGGGATGCCATCCAATCATCTCATCTTCTGTCATCCCCTTCTCCTCCTGCCTTCAATCTTTCCCAGCATCAGGGTCTTTTCCAATAAGTCAGTTCTTCCCATCAGGTGGCCAACATATTGGAGTTTCAACTTCAGCATCAGTCCTTCCAATGAATATTCGGGACTGATTTCCTTTAGGATTGACTATATATTTCAAATCTAAAAATATACCAGATCTTCCTGTTACATAGAATGAAGTAAGTCAGAAAGAGAAAAACAAATATAGTATATTAATGCATATATATGGAATGTAGAAAAATTATATTGATGAACTTATTTTCAGGGAAGGAATGGAGACACAGATGTAGAAAACGGACTTGTGGACACAGTGGGGGAGGGAGAGAGTGGGGTGAATGGAGAAAGGAATTTCAACATATTTACACTATCGAGTATAAGATGGATAGCTGGCGAGAAGTCGCTATATAGCACAAGGAGCCCAGTCTAGCCCTCTGTGATGGCCTGGAGAGATGAGATGAGGAGAGGGGAGGGAGGCTGGGGAGGGAAGGGATCTATATATACTTATGGCTGATTTGTCTTGTTGCATGGCAGAAACCAACAAAACACTTTAAAAACATTTTTTTAAATTTTAAATAAAAAATAGGAAAGAAATATACCAGCTCTTAAAACACAGACTTACACAAGTGTTGAAATTTTAATGACTTGACTTGGAGTGTTTGGATTGCCAAATTTTGATTCAGCTCTGGCTGAAGCAGAACAGCTTCTCGAGTTGTGAGAGGCCCCTGGTGGGCTGGGTCTCTAAGCTCATGCTTGGGGTGCCCAGTGGGCAGTGCAGCTCTGCCACGGGCCTGGGTCTCAGCCCCCGTGGCTAGACCTCTGGATACTTCCCTGTCCCTCCTGGATCCTCCTGTCAAAGAGGCCCCTTGGACTTTGGTGAACCCTGCTTATACCTGCGGAGAAGGCAATGGCACCCCACTCCAGTACTCTTGCCTGGAAAATCCCATGGACGGAGGAGCCTGGTAGGCTGCAGTCCATGGGGTCGCTAGGAGTCAGACACGACTGAGCGACTTCACTTTCCCTTTTCACTTTCATGCACTGGAGAAGGCAATGGCAACCCACTCCAGTGTTATTGCCTGGAGAATCCCAGGGATGGGGGAGCCTGGTGGGCTGCCGTCTATGGGGTCGCACAGAGTCGGCCACGACTGAAGCGACTTAGCAGCAGCAGCTTATACGTGGCTCCTGCCCCTCCCCTGTGCTGGGCTCCTGAGAGCCCCATCCCAGGAGTGACACAACTTTGCCTTTGCTCTTCGGCTTAGGTACCCCTAACCTTTCCTGACTGCGTCTGGTTCCCAATTCCAGTCTTGTCAAGTGGATCTTCCTCCTGTGATGGGATCATCACTGAGCCCATAATCATGCACCACATTTGGGGGAACAGGGCCGTGGCAGCAGTTCAGGAATCTAATTTCCTTCATGGCCTTTGGTGACTTTAAAATACGTCCATGAATTGCTTTATACTCTTCCTTTCCAGAGCTAGAGTTTAATTCTCTCCTCTAGATTGTGGCCTGGACTTAGTAAGTGTCTCCTGATGAACAGAATGCGGTTTCTTTCCTTTCTCTTCCTTTACTCTGGAGGCAGCCAGCAGCCATGCTATGAGTACACTCAAGTAGCCCTGTGGAGATGTCCACATACTGAGAAACTTGGGCCTCCTGCCGACAACCAGCATGTGACAGTTCTGTGAGTAAGCCACCGGGATGCTCCCACCCAAGTCAAACCTCTAACGGACCTCAGCCCTGGCGATGTTGCTGTTTTTAATATCTTTAGCTATTATTTGGCCACGCCACATCTTAATTGTGACACACAGGTTTTTGATCTTCATTACGGCATGTGGGATCTTGTTCCCTGGCATGTGGGATCTTGTTCCCTGACCAGGGATCGAACCCAGGCCTGCTGCAGTGGGAGCGCAAAGTCTTAGCCATTGGTCCACCAGGGAGGCCTTCTGTCTTGGCAATGTTTTGATTACAACATTCTGAGAGGCCTTGAGCCAGAACCACCCAGCCAAGCCATACCCAAATTCTTATCTCATGGCAACTTTTCGAGATCATAAGTGTTTGTTGTTTTAAGCCACTGAGTTTTGAGGTAATCTATTACACAGCAACAGATAACTAACACATGTCCCAAAGGTGAGATTGGAGAGAGAGAGATGGCATAACTCTCACAAAATGATTTTCTGCACAAAGAGCTTCTGCATCATTTAAACCCTTTCCACTGAAAACATCACATCCTAACGGCTTGTTTACTTCTCTGTCCCCCAGATAATGTGGGCCCTTGAGAACAGGGGCTTGATGAATTCATGCTTCATTTAGCTGAGTTCTAAGGATACAAGCTTAAAGATATCAGTAATCTAAAATTCTCTATTTGTTATGGTGGTTTAGCCACTAAGTCATGCCTGTCTCTTTCGATCCCATGGAATGTAGCCCACCAGGCTCCTCTGTCCATGAGATTTCCCAGGCAAGAATACTGGAGTGGGTTGCCATTCCCTTCTCCAGGGGATCTTCCTGACCCAGGGATGGAACCCACATCTCCTTTATTGCAGGCAGTCTCCTGCATTGCAGGCAGGTTCTAATATCTATTTTGGGCATCTTTCTGAGAGTAATATACACAGTCAATTCTGGGGGCCCCATACCTCCCAGGTCCTGTTTCTCTTAGCTGCTTCCATGCCCCAGTTGGTTGTGGGAAATACTTAGTTGTCTCTGTATGCTACAGGATGTGGGAAATCCTGCCGTCTGATCTCAGGTCCTCCTGGACAAGGTTTGTACCTTCTGGGCTCTTCCCTGGAAAGAAGGCCCCCCCCCCATCCAGGCTTTTGCCTGCCACGAGTCACCCCATAAACCAGCAGCTCAATGATTTTCTCCCAAGGAGAAAAGAATGCATTTTCTTGAACTCTTAATTATAAAAGTGTCAGCAAAGGACCGTTTCAGATGTTAGCGATAAACTCTAAACTTCCTGGGAGTGTTTCCTAGTTGGAATAGAGGTAAAGAACCCATCTACCAATGCAGGAGAAGTAAGAGACGTGGATTCGATCCCTGTGTTGGGAAGATGCCCTAGAGGAGGGCACAGCAACGCACTCCAGTAATTCTTGCCTGGGGAATCCCGTGGACAGAGGAGCCTGGTGGACTAGGGTCCAGGGGTCTCTAAGAGTCGGACACAACTGAAGTGACTGAGCATAGCATACAAACTTCCTGGGAAAGGAGATCAGTGCGTTCAGTTTCTCTGCAGCCCAAGGATCTGTGTCAGTAACTATGGCTCCCGGGATGGTACATATTTTCAGAAGGAACAGTATTATGATTGATTAGTAGTGCTGTCTGCCTGAGAGAGAAGAGAGTAAATATAGCTCTGCTCTATTTACCAACTCTGACCTATACTTTTGATGCTACCCTGTTACTTCTCCAAGATGTTAGAGAAGCAGGCCCTTCACTGGCAAAAAGCCTCCCATCCTTCTAGGAGGCCCAGCTGCTGATGCTGTCCCACAGCTAGCTGACCTAAAAGGGCTCTCCTGGATGTGGCTGCGATAGCTGTATCCTTTCTGTAGCTAGACTGGGAAGCTAAAACAACAGCAATGGGGTTAGAGTAACTTTACCCCAGATGCTTGTGCTGGAGGCCAATCAGCACAGATGTCTGCACTGGCCTTCACTGCTCACTGAAGACCCAGGCAGCAAGCCCAGATGTGCTTTCATTACTTAGCATCCTGATGGAGGAGAGAATAAACATCACGGGTTCCACCATCTCATCTATTCCTCCGATGAAAGAAAACAGGCAGCCTGGCCTCGGGAATTCTAAGTTGCAAAGGGAAAAAGAGCAGTTCCAACTGGTATCCACCAATAGTTT